AGTGGCCTTTATTAGCTCGAGCGGGGTCGAGGCGCAGTTCAGTGCTTAGATGGCGGCGTTTGTAGTTACATGTTGTGGTGCGTGTTGGCACAGTGGCGAGTCGATTGAGGAGAGTAGTGTAGTAGAAGTACGAACGGTGCCACGAACCCGCTGCTCGGTCGGTGTTGTTGATTTGCTATGTGATAAGTGTAGATTCCGAAATATATTGTGTTAATCCGTGTCTCTAGTGTTTTGATGCTCGCACTTCACCCAAATGACGCCCACGAAACCAAGACTCGGTAGCAATGATGTCGGGAGAAAGACCCAACTCCGACATATATTTAAATTAAAAATGTTTTAAATAATAAAAAAATTAAGGAAATAAAATTACCCAGCCAAAAAAGGCCCCGATACTCATGATATAGGTATGAGAAGGCGGCATATAGCCGCCCACAAAAGTAATAATAATAAAGAACTTTAGTACTTTACATTTGTAATTTTTATAATTAATTCTTCAATGATAAAATATGTTAAATATGCTTTTTCGATTTTGCTGTAGGATCCTCTAGCATTGCATCTATGGTGGGCGTGCGAGCGGCGCGAGGGCTGCGCCCCGCACTTCCCCCCGGAGCACCCGGTGGAGGAGCTGCGCCGCGCGTTGCTCGCCGTGCTACTGTACCACGTCGGCTTGAAGGAACATGCGCTCGCCACTGCTACTACTGGTATTCTTACTAATATTATAAATGCAAAAGTTTAGATGGATGGATGGATGTTTGTTAGAGTGTGTAGGCTAAACAACTGAAAGGATCTCGATGAAATTTAACACATAGGCTACTCACTTTTTTAATTGCCCGGACAGAGTCGCGGGCGAAAGCTAGTATAACATATTTTATTGGTATAATCATAGGTAGAGAAATTTTTTTTGAATAATACATTAATGAATTCCCACAGAGATGAAAAAGGGTGAAGTTAAATTGTCTCCGGCTATGTCGGAGATACTAAAAGCCGTACAGCAGAGCAAATGGACACTGATGAGAACGAGGCAACAGTTATCGCGGGGATATAAAGAAGTAAGAAAACGTCTAATATGGTTTTGAAAATCCGTTTTGAAGAAGTGATTATTTACGTAATGTGTGTTTTAGGTGTGTGCAGCGCCTTTAGAAAGGGCCAGGTTCTTATTGCACGAGGTGCGTCCGGCGATATCCCCCGCAGTATCAGCGCTGCAAAAGAGACCGCCCGCTCGCCGTCCACCCTCCGCTAAGAAAGTATTTCAAAAAGTCATGCGATTAGCTAAATCACCTTCCTTCAACAAATGGTAATGTAAAATTTCTAAGATATTTCTAAGAAAATTAGTAATTGCCTCGAACTACAGTTTTTTTCCTTTGTTTTAGTTTCGAAACAACGAAAGACTTAAGGAATAGACAGAACAGCTTAAATAAGAGTATGCTAAGAGCCGGAGGCAGCTTACTGCAAGGCGATGCTCTGATCATTAAATCGGCACTAAGTAACGCCGCTAGAACTGTTGACGATATTCGTATAAAAGTAGTCGAACCAAAATGTTACTATAATTCAGAGGTACCAACTGACCCGGCGTCGAAAGATGCCGCAAATCAACAGACTAAAAATAAATTAAAATTGAAAGATAAACCGCTAGACAAAGATATGAAAAACGCCTGTAATTACGACGATATGCGTAATGAAGCTCGCGGTGAATTAAAAATACCTGAAAAGGAAGATATTCAAGATAAAGATTATGATGATAAAACACCAACGAATGAGGTGTCAATCAGTTCCATCAATGATATGACAGATAATTCCATTTTAAAGGAATCTATGGAAAGCGAGAAACAAGTTATGCTACAGGCTGATGATTTGAAAAACGAATTATTTACTGCCGATGAAGAAAAAGATGATGATACCTCGGAAAGAAATAAGTTTGTCAATGCTTGGGTGGCTAAGCTGTCATGTCAAGAAAAAGGTATACAGTATTAACTAGTTTAGTATAGCATATGTTTGAGACATTTAAAATACTTTTTTTCTTAACAGATCTATATTGGATGCTAGAAGAAGTGACAGCGGAACAACAGAGCGTGACAACCGCTATTATTGATTTCGTAATGAGCGAAGAATCGTGTGACCTTGATATGTTGAGAAGGGCGTTGTATTGCCAGGTAACATATTAAATTTGTTATTTCTGTGCATTTTTTATTGTTTAATTGCATTATTTTGTGTAATATTTCAGGTGCAAAGAGCTGAAATAAGGAAAAATGGTTACAAAATCATTAATAAGATACTTCACTTGACTCAAACGATGTCGGAAAGTGTTAAATACGCGGTGTTCGCTGGCCTATGTGGTGCGTCTCTGGCGGATTCACCAAATACACCACTTAAACCAACAATCCCTTTAACATTACCTTTAAAGGGTATAGAATCTGTGATACCGTATACGAAATACATGGTGCTTCTAGAACGATCTAGATTGATGGACTACGTGCTTATAGAGTTGAGGGCGAAAGTGTTAGAAGCGGAACAACAGCAACCCATGCCTTTGAAGATGAGCGTTAACTTTGGAGCTCACGCATTACTCACGAAACCATCACGAGCGAGGTAGTAACAAAGAATAAACCTTATGTTGTAAGTGATTGAGTTAAAGATTGCATACTTCTTTTATATTTCAGGTTTTTGATATCTCTTCTAACATTAGTAGTGGAGGGTTGCTACGGTCCAGAGTTGGAGCAATTGATAAATGGCGGAGCATTAAGTTCCTGCATGACATTGTTAAGACAAATCGGTGGAGATACATCTCTATATAATTCCCAGAACTCTCCAACAGCAGCAAAATCTAAATGTAAGTATAAATTTTTAAATAATAATATTAAATCTCGTTTTAAAATCATTTTTTAATATTATTCTTTTTTCAGTTGAATGTTTAGTTATATTTGAAGATGAAAAATTAGGTGCTCGAGCTAGATGCGCTTCACTAAGCGGACCCGAACTTGCCAGTCTTATGAAAATAGGTACTAGGGTTGTGCGCGGCAGAGATTGGAAGTGGGGTGATCAGGTATAAACCAATTGAGATTTTTTTTATCCTAATTTAATCTAAATGTGTGGAGTGTATTGTTGATCTTTTTTGGACTTTCCGTATCAAATAGCGGAATGTCGTTGATTTGTGGGGTGTGTGTGTTATTTCGCTGTGAGGTGAAACAAATTGAAAACATCAAAATACTAATGTAGTAACTTACGAAATTTTTCTTCATAGGATGGAGGGCCTGGAGGCGAAGGCAGGGTGATCGGAGAACTAGGAGACGACGGTTGGGTGCGCATTCTATGGGACAGCGGAGGCACTAACTCCTATCGCATGGGAAAAGAAGGGAAATATGACTTGAAATTAGCACGCTCACCTTCTCCGCCACCATCTCTATATGAGGCTGAGACTGAAAATCGTAAGTTAAATATATTTAAAAACTAATTATTAAGAAACTAGCTGTTTAGCTTCCGTGCAGCTACATCCGCATGAAATTAAAAAATTATTTATTTTGATCTTTACATTTGTGAATTTATCTATTGCAAATGCCACAATTCAAACGCACAAATGACAACGAAGGCCTTTTACATTAGATAACAATTACCATTACCATGGCTACCTTGCTTCTTTGATGATGTTAGCTCACACTTTCTGTCTCTTTCCCGCAAGATGGTTATTTTCAAAATGATTTACTCCCTAAGTTTAATAGGAGATATATCCTAAAGCGTGTCGTAAGTGTAGGGCTTTTTATTTAAAAAAGTATAATTAAAAAATATGTTGTGATTGCTGATATCCTTAATAACTAAAGAGTGTGTTTTTACGCTTTATTATGTTAGTGTCATCTACCCTAACATAGTAACGTGTTTTTTTAAATCATTTTGTTTACCTTCCAGGTCAGACTACGTTAGACTGGTGGCCGGTGAAGGAGGTGCGTGCGGCGTGCACGGGCGCGTTGCGTGCGGCGTGCGCGCGCGCCGGCAGCGCGCACGACGTGCGTAGCGTGGTGCGACGCAACGTGGCCGCGCTACAACGACGGTTGCTTGTTATCGCACGTGCGAATAATGTACCCCCGCCTACCGCGTTCGCGTCGTACGCGCATACCGCTGTAGCACTCATTAGAGGTAAGAAACATATTATTATTAACTAGCTGTTACACGTGACTTCGCCCGAATGAAATTTAAAAAAATATAGCCTATGTTACTCATTGGTAACGTAGCATAATGGTGAAAGATTTTTTGAAATCGGCCCAATAGTTTGAGTTATTTCAATACATACAAAAATACAAATGTTACCTCTTTATGATATACTAGCTTTTGTTCGCGACGTCGCCCGTGTGAAAATAAGGGAATTATAAAAAAAAATCTTGCTTATATTACTCATTGGTAACATATCTTTCTAATGGTGCAAAAAATAATAAAATCGGTCCATAACATTTTATTTATTTCAATACATAAAAATACGAATCTTTACTCTTAGTATAGATAACGCTTTGAGTCAATTTATAATTAGCTTCCAACTTGTGTTGCTATATTTTACTATGTTTTATCATTCTTTTAGCAAGCGCACAAAATCACGATATGAGAAAAACGTTATGCACCGAATCCTGGTTTGAACTGTGCTTCAGTATCATTTCTGCGGGGGACAAATCGGTCACGCAGGACTTACTATTCCTACAGGTTGGTAGTTTTTCGCTCTTTTTACTTTTATTTCAAAACAATAAAACAAAATTAAATTGTTGTCACCCTAATTTAGGGTAGGCTCCAAGCCCCTCGGTGGGGACATATAGTGAGCTGGTGATGATGGAGTAATTGTTTCCTCTTTTGTTTAAATTTGGCTTTTGTATGTTTTTGTCCGTTAGATCCAATGTATCTGGCTGCTGAAGCGAGTGCTGCTGGAGCACGCGGGGCCGGCGGAGTGGCGCAGGACGGTGGCGACGCAGCTGCTGGCGCTGGTGGGCCGGCTGTGGCTCGAGACGCACCCTGCGGACCCCGCGCTGCGCCCCACGCAGGCTATATTCACAGCCAACGATGAGGAGGAACTAGGTGAAATATTTAATGCTCATGCACTACTGTAAACTAATTTCCGCGTTATTATTAGGCACTAGCTGTGGCTAGAGACGCATGAAATTAAAAAATATTGAAAAATATAGCCTAAGTTACTCACAGATAAATTACCTTTCTAACCTGTTACGCCGACACTACGGGAGTAGGATAAGGAGGATGATGATGAACGGTGAAAGAATTTTTAAAATCCGCCCAGTAGTTTTTAAGTTATTTCAATACATATAAAAAAACAAATCAGAAATGATTTATATTAGTATAGATAACAGTAGCTGGTGAGTAAAATGTAATTGTTTTTTTAAACCCCTTAGGGCTTTCTTTACTAAACAAAGTTTTAGGATAAATGACATTTGACACGGTTAATATGTGTGTTGTAATTATTTTTGTTGTTATGGTAATGTTTGTTGCAGACAACAGATGGCGCGCGCCGGCGACGAGCAGCTACACGGGCACGGTGTGCGCGGGCGCAGTGTCGCTGGTGCG